ACTTTCTATCTGCTCAGGATCTCGATATATTCCATGTTGTAATCAATTAAGTCAAATCCCACGTAGTATGATCACAGTTTTTGTGGTTTCCATTTACTTTTTCCCTATTATCCGCATTTTTTAGGTGTTTACTGTAATCAAAGTTTAGCTTGTTTAGATCAAAACCAGTTTTTTTTTATGAATACTCGTTGGTTTCAGATCGATTGGTAACTCAGCAACAAAATGGCAATGGAAAACTCATGTGTGTTGTACAAAGTACAACAGCGCGAGTAACTATAACCGTTAAAGAACTATACACTGCATTTTCAGGACTTCCGTTATTTACTGAAAGCTCCTTTAAATTACAGAACTTCCATGAATGCTTGAAAAGTGCTTCCATGAAAAGTTCTCAGAAATTTATCTGTATTCCTAGAGTTGGGTCAAGGTGGGAGGGGCATGTGTCATCCCTTTCGTTTCCTATAACGCATAACATTACAATAATTAAAGCATTGATGAACTTTTCAAACGTTAGTGACACTATAAGTGATGTAGAAAAATCAGTTAACAGGAGCTATTAAAAAAAACTTATAGAGCTTTTTGGGCTGAATAATGTTTGTAAATACAAGCATTCCATAGCAGAATGATATAGTGGTTCCCAGACTTTCGTAAAAAATTGTAGTTTTATTCATTATCGCAAAATATTAGACCTGTTTTTTATTATTTTGTCATTAAGATGACCATTTCCATGTTAGGGTGGTCCAAAAAATCGTTTTTTTCATAAATGACTTTTCAAGTCTAGCAGAAGAAGAAAATAGGTATAGATTATGTGACTATGTTAGCTATGTATCAATTAAGACGCATGGTAGCTCAGTCGCATAGGAGTATTGAGCGAAAAACGCAAAACTTGATTGTGTAAATAAGCCTAAATTTTCAAGAAACAATATAAAAAACCTATTGCGCCCTCTGTCTACAAACCATGAAAGCCATGAAAACCAAATACAAAATCCCAATTTTTTAATATCATTATATTTTTCATTTTTGAAAAAAAAATCGACATGGATATGGTCACCCTAATGACAAAAAGAAACGAGTCTAATATTTTGCAATAAGGAACAAAACGACCAATCTTTACGAAATTCCAAGAACCACTATATCTTTTTGCTATGGAACGGTTGAATATCAATAAATATTTTCATATATTCAGCCAAGTTGTCCCGCCCTCAGGATTCAAGAAATTACAAGGGGTAATCAACTCTGCACACTATGCCGAAACACAGCATGGCACACTATTCGGCTCTTTAGGAAAAACGTTGACAAGTAGGATACAATCAACATAATATAAAACGGCACCGCTGTCGCGAGTTGACGTTTTGCCAATCGTTGCCTTCTTTGTTTTCTCCATTGGGCTTCACATTGGGTTCGGATTCCAAGGAAAAATGCTGTGAGTATTGCCTGCACCATGAAACTAAGTTTATCTCGCCCGATTCGTAAAGAAAATCCCAGCGGCTCGTGGTTTCGTCCAGAATAGCTTCACGCTAACAGTTTTCTTCCACAACATGGTCGGTCGAGAGGGTCGATACGACAGTCAAGATGACCAAAATGGGTTTCCTCCAGCAACGGTTAGTCAAATGTTGTTATGCAGAACGAACGATAAATAATAAAAAAAAAAACCCACATCATAGGGGGTATGATGAGTTTTGTATTTCAGCCAGGTTTGAATCCCGGTCTTGCCAAGGGTCTTCCGGAATGAAAATGTTATCGTTTTCTCCTACGTTTTTCCTTAGGTTTCCTTGGTTTCAATTGGTATGGACTCGGAAATCTACAGGATTTTATAGGGACGTCCATACAAGTCCCAGTACTTATTGGGGAATGTCGATACGTATTAACCCCAAATATTCCATCAGGTCTGGACGATTGCCTTAGCAAAACAGTATAGGATTTATAGAAAATTCTATTCCGTGAGTACACCTCATCATCAACGATCCAATCTGCACTCCTGCTATCAATCAATTATAAGGCCTTGCTCAATCTCGAATGTGCATGACACATGACGACACTTAGTAATTTGCTGTTCGGCGAAATCCCATGGGCGTGCAGATGAACACCAACAACCACAGGGTACAGTTGAACTGCAGATGCGAAGTTTATCTGGATCGTGCACCATTTCCGAGGTATGACAGATATGAAGTGGGGGATCATTTAATGGCTTTCACTGGTGGTACATTGGAGATTGGTTTTGATTAGTGGTACCTTGAGGAACGTATCACATCTGCAAAGGATCGTGAACTTGATAGGCTTGAACGTGTGTAATTGGGTTATGGTAGGAGACATCACAATCTGCGATACGATAGGCTTCCCAAGTAACATTTCAAGTTTTATCGTGGTTTTAAAGTGTTCTACAAGTCTAGATAATGATCTTCAGAACCCTCATAAAACCCTAATTGCTACTTGGGTTGGGTGATATCTTCGAGGTTGCGTAGTTCTGAGTCGATCAGAACTGTTTCGAGGATGTTGTTTCTAGGGCGGGAGTGAACTGGGTAACATTTTACTAGCAGCTGGTGAACATTTCGTCCACCGTCCGGGTCGTATAGGTTGTATTGCTTCCAGTTCTTCTTCCACTTCTCCATCCGCTCTCAATTTAATGAGAATACTATAAAGTGTCCATCGTCTCCTTCGCCACTCACATATCGCTTGCCAAACCATGGCATGCTTACCAAATTTTTCAGTAAACATTGACTTATCGGTATCGTTAACTTCCTGACCATCACGGACATTAGTCTCCCGGAAGCGTCTTGTAGTCAAATTTGACGATTCAATTGCATCGTCCACACGCCAGACTATCATATAGCTTCCGAGCCCTCGGTTTAACGGATGCGGCTTGTTTCTGACTTCGTTTTGGCTTCTTCTGCTTCTTGAACGTTTTCAGCCCGTTTCATGTCTTGGCACGTTTAGCGTTCACAGAACGTTCGATGTTCACAGTTTTTTGGCCAAATCTCGAACAGAGGCACCTTTCTTATTGACGAAAGCTTGGTGATCTTCTGGTTCACTTTTCGGTCCTCGAAGGTAATTTCATCACAGAACTTCCGGATGACGGTTTGGACTACTCCGATACCTACTTTATCCATTTTCGTCAACTTCCTTACTGATAAGTTGGGAATTGTGCACCATTTTTGCACGATCTGTTTGCGCTTTTTCGGGGACAAGCGTCGCTTTTTGATGATTTTGTTTGAGGACACAAACTTGTTGAGCAATAAGTAAACAATAACACACATTGATGAACAGCTGATTAACTTCATCGGGGTAGAAGTGGCGTGAAAGCGTGCTTATACTTTCTGGGACACCCTATAGCTATAATTCTAAAGAAACTCTGGGGAGAATTTCAATGGAATTCATCTAGAAATTTCAAATAATTTTGGGAAGTATTATTCTAATTCCAGGGAACTCTTAAGCAAATCGAAAGGAATTTCAAGGTGCATTCTAAGGGAATTCGACGTCTTTCCTTTAACGTGAATTAACCCTATGGCAAACTTGACTACATGACTACGATCCTGTAACTACTACAGAGACTGAACATCTTTTAAATGTTGATAAATCAATGAAAGAGAAATTTCTATGAGAGCTACAAGGAAATATGGATAATAATTCCGTGGAAATCTAGTTCTTAAAATAGCTAAAAAAAAACCAATCCTTGCAGAAATTCATGCTAGTTTGAAGGCAGTTTCAAGGGAATTTCTAAGAATTTGGAGGGAATTTCAAGGGGTTTCCGGGAAGGTTTGGCAAGAAATTTCGAGAATATTTCCATAGAAACTATGAGTAGTGCCCCAAGTGAAATTTCCAAGGAAATTTTAAGGAGAGTTTTCAGATCATTCCTAGACAATTCCAATGGAGGGAATTTTGAAAATAAATTCAGAGGTGAAATCCAAGCATTTTTTGGGAGCATACATTTTATAATTCTAAATGGTATATCAAGAGATTTCCGAGGAATATTCCAAGCGAATTCTAGAGAAAATTCAGTAAGAATGTGAAGATATATTAAGAGTGAATGTCAAGACTTTCCCGGAAAGAATTCCTAAAGAGATTCGCACAGAATTCGAAGACTGTTCTGGAGAAAATTTCTAGAGAATACTTAGGCAGAATCATAAAAATATCGTGAAAGTTAAAGTAAATCTGAAGACTTTTTGGATTGATTCTGAGTAAATCCTTGACAAATTTTCGAAGATATCCCTAAGAAACAATTTAGTAAATTCGAACATTGACAAATTTTAACAAAAACTTGTAAGACTCTGAGACTTTGACTAAGATGCTGTTCAGAAAAGTGTAACAGTGACGTGAAAAAGTTTCCAAGGTTTTAAAATTATCAAACATATTGAAAAGGCCATACTTTGGGAGATTGCTATTTTTTTTAGATCTCAGACTTGATGTTTGGTATTATATACTATAGAAAAGTAAAAAAAAATGTGGACTTGAAGAAATATTCAAGATACCGCACTTAAAATGTTTTTAACAGAATTCGATTAATGACGATACAATAGAAGATTGCGATGATCCAATAAAATTCCCTGAAGACCTGAAGGGGCCTTCAGCAGAATTAGTCCTAATTTCGCGTTCAAATGTTGGTGAGTCTAATTTCACTAATTTCGCCATACGTACTTACTGAAGAAAATTCTAAGTAACCTCATAAATAAACGAATCAAACAGGCGATGCGGTTGAATAACTCAAATGTAGATGTCGCACCGGCAAACAGTAATGCGGAAGTGGAATGAACTTCTGTGTAAAAAGAAACAAGAGAGAACTCAATTCCAATTCTCTCTCTCTTTCGTACTCGACTGACTCGAGCGAGTAACATGCATTCATTCGGGTCATTCATTCCGAAAACATGAATGATTCGAAAACACAAAGACAGCATCGAGCAAGAGAGAAAATGTCTTTTCATCTCTCATTCAAACTCAAGCTCGCTTCGGTCCGGTCAGAAGGCAGTCATTTTCCCTTTTAATCATTCCGCGAGTGCAACCCGGTTCGGACAAACGTGTTTTATTCGCTTCGCGTGTAGATTTTGATCGCCGTGTGCGTGTGTCATTTTTGTTGTGTAGCTGGAGCAAACTTTGCTTAGCATTTGGCACAGTTTCCGCTGCATCGGTTGCAAATTAAAAATAGGTGGAATAAGTAAAATCGTGAGAATAAGTCGGATTTTTTAGACAGATCCGGGGTTCGTGAAAGTTAGCTCATTCAAGTGCGTTTTCGCAAAGAGGAAGAGTTAAAAAAAGAAAGCCAAAATGCGATTTGCGACTAAGGAATGGATCATAATAAGCGGATTGAAGAGGATTCACTGATAATCTAGCAGTTACGGGTTTTCCTGTAGTGTTACGAAACCAATGTTTGTGTAGGCTGAAAAAAAAACGTAACCAACGAGTGATGATAGTGGTTCCCGTCAAGGTCACGTCACATAAGAACCGACAACGACAACAACCACAAAGGAAGCGTTGAGATTATTGTATTTGTGATGCGAAAAAATGGTTGCACGAAACATGACGGCTGCTGTATGTATTGTAAACAAAGAATGCTATACCTGACCGTTGCATTACTGCATCGACACATAGAACTAGCGCGTACAAAGAGGGAATAAGAAAAATTGCATGACCTGCGCAAAAACAGAAAACATCTGTTATTCTTTTGTTGCTCTTGTTCCCTTGGGTTCTGACTTGTCAAACGCTGTCATCGCAGCAGGCGTTGAGGGTGAGGTGTTTCATTCACCCCTTGCCCCTGTGCGGCACAATTCAAAACCAAAGCCACCTGGCATACTGGATGGAAGTTCATCGAACGCTTCCAGGGCAGGGATGTTCAAATTGGATTTAAATGAAAGAACAGCAATACGTCCTCAGCTGATGTCACCATAACTGACTTGTCTGGGGAAACGAGATATCGTGAAAGTTGTGCGGAACAGAAATTCCGGTCAGCGACGATCACAACGCAAAACCGCAATTTTAGCACGTACAGCAGCACTAACAACAATGGTATGCTGATGTGACTAACCGCGATGAGAAATGAGAAAAAACAACAAACAGCGACTAGATGGAAACGAATTGACAAATAAGTGGCATGCTTGGATTTATAGCAAAGCAAGCCAAAAGCCGGCAAAGAGTTGGCGTGGGTTGGTGAATCATCTGAAAAAAACCGGCACCAGTAAACAGTGCTATTACCAAATGTGGTGATTGCGATAATGAGGTGCTGGTTGGCTGTTTAGGTTTACTTCAATAGTTGACCTTGATCGAAGGTGTTTTGCTTTAGAACGTGAAGTTTATGATTTTGAGAGTTGGGAGGAAATGCTATACCAATATCGACATGAAGCTTTAGTGCGATAATTTATTAGCTAGACAAAAGTTCTGAAGAGGACAGATTGATATTTCCGCCGTTAACAGTGTTAAAATTGAACAGAAATGACTTCTTTACCTAACTCACACTTTGATGGGTGAGGGGATTTGGGGTATTTCCTCAAATTCACAGGCAAAAGAGTGCGCGTTTGACTTGCTCATATACTGTTTGCGGCTGAGGAATAGTTCTAGCGACGTTTATCACTAGGCTAAAGCCCCACGTTACCCAACTAGTATTTGGATTTTCTAGTCAAGAATGAGTAGTGAGTAGTGTTCCAGGAGATTCTGAAGAAATTCCCAAGGGAATTCCAAGAGATCCTCGTCCAGAGCATTATCAGAAGCATTTCAAGGAAGTTCTGATGAAAATGCCTACAGAATTCTGAGGTGAAATTCAAGAAAATTATGGGATGACGCTTTTCTAAATTCTAAGTGGTATACCACGAGATTTACAGGAATATTTCAAGTGAATTGTAGAAAATATAAAGGAGAGAAATTCAAGCAATTTCTCGCGAGAATTTTTAAGAATGCTAAAATAAATGTAGAGGTAACTTCAAGCGTTTTCTGGAGGGAATTCCTAGAGGATTCTGTAGAAAAATACACTTTTATGGAGAAACCTTCTAGGGATTACCGGACAGAGTCATAAGAGTATTGAGCGGAATCCTGAAACTAAAAGTAATTCTGACGAGATTTTGAAATCATCCACAGAAATCCTTGAGAAACGTCCAAACATATCCTGAGATAAGTTCCAAAAGAAATAATCTAGTTAAGATTTCAATTCCATACACAGAAATTTAAGATCCAAAATTAAAAAAAATTCTCAACACTCGGAGTTCTTAGAAAACTTTTTCAAGATTTTGGGACTGGATTCAAAATTCTAAGAGAAATATTTGAGCCATTGGACGAGTATTTCTTAATACAAATTATTTGTTAAAGTCCCAATCAAATTCCCGGTTGTTTTCGATTTCCGGTTATTTCCCGGTTCAGTGCTGTTGCTGACATAATTAGACGATGTCTGATCATTCAAAATCATCCTTTGGGTTATCCAGAAGTCCATACTCGACTCCATGTCAGTTAAGGGTTTATCATTTTTTGTGACTTAAAAAAAACGTCACATATACTGATTTCCGTGATTTTCACACTAACATCCTCGATATGCCCCTGGACCTGTATTTTAGAATACACGTCACACACCCACGAATTTAAACCAAATCATTAATCAAATAAGTGTATTTACATTGTAACATGTTCCAGTTCAGCGAGCGTATAGCGTCGAGCTGAATTGAAAGATTCTGCCCAAGAAAACACTGAAAAAATACGCCAATTTCTTTCTAAACTGAGTCTTACTAATTCCAAATAACGGTGATCAACGACCGAAAGATACACAATCGGCTGAACCAACGAATCGATTCCTATACAATCATCGGTTCTTCTTCTTAGCTTCAAGGTTGAGCGCATTTGGGCGACCGACGACAACCAGCAGGGCGAACAATCATTCGCGAATGAAACCGTTTTGGTCGACACGCGGACTGCGCTAACTGTGACATCAATTTCGTCAATCCACCGCAACGCCCCATGAAGAAACGCGCGACTGACTGTTTGTACTTTATTCTAGATATCTAAAACAAACTTAAGTTCTCGCCTCGACTCGCTTGTTTGGCATTTTTTTTTTCTCGGACAAATAAGTCCTTCGATGTTTGATCAAACACATCCGTAATCCACCTATCAGGGCAACAAATAGGAGGGGGAGAAAGAACGATCACAATACTTCCCCCGCACAGAAGAAGAAATTAATTCCAGGTCGCAAATCGCATTCAATTCAATCGAGTCGAGTTCTCGTCGAAAAGGCAGTCAACAAGCAAAGCACAGCAGAAAAAGCGAGCATAACAATTCTAAAGCCATACACACAGTCTCGGCTTTATAATTTTTTTGTTAAAGCTTCTGTTTGTGCTCTGCTGATGTTATTATTATTCAGCCTTGCCTACTCGGTAGATTTCGTCAAACCGACTGGTGTGTATTTGTTCACTACAACAGAACAGGCTCTGCAGTGTGTCCCACCATTGGCGAGCGAGCGACTTCTATAGGGTGTGCGAGGTAGTATCCAGTTGGAATCGATCGTGAACGGACGACGCGCAATGAACTAACAACGATGAAGTGGCCGTCAACAGTGCTCGTGGTGGTGATCGCGGTGATCCTTAGCTTTAGTCGGGGATCGGAGGCCGCCCGGAAGTTGAAGGGATCCACGGATGTGGACGCCCTCAGGCAGCGGTACTATGAACTGGAAAATCGCGCCTGGACGATCGTCAATCAGATCGACAAAGTCGACAACCAGAAGGAGGAAGATCGACGGCTGCAGAGGAACATTATCCTGAAGGAGCTGATCGACATCTACTCCGGATTTGCAAACGATGAGCTGGGACCGGAGAACACCTACGATGAGGATGATTACTTTATACTGAAGCGCTTCTACGAGTGGCAGCTGCTGGAGCAGGATCTGATCAACGTGCACAAGTTGTTCGATGCTATTCGGCAGTTTATGCGGAACAAGAATCAACTGCCCGGGGAGGATGCGGACTTTGAGCTGGCCAGCATGGACATCACCGATACGGTGCTGGGCGATCCGCACTTCCCGGTGAACGCAACGCTGGAGGAGATCGATCGGATCATGATTCGCCAGGGGATGTACTACAAGGCGCAATTGGTAACGTATTCAGTTGCTGTGTCACTTTCGATTTTCGAGCTTGAATTGCGTTCAATGTGTGTGTGTGTGTTTGTGTGCGTGACGATCACTCATTTCGTTGCTTTTTTTTTTGTTTCTTCAAACAGGAGGCCAAATCGACGATCTGCAGCTTTGGGCTTTCGGCCCAGCAGGTTCTCTATCAGCTGTACAATGCCATCTCCATCACCGAATTAAAAGGCTACTCGATGATGCAGTTCTCGTGGATGCTACTGAAAACCTACGGGAAAGGTAAGTTTTGATCAACCAGGAACCGTTAAATTACAGGTTGTGCAAACAACAACAGCGTTCCAACCGGTAATTATAGTTGCGATACTCATACACGAGCTTGTGCTCGAAGATTAATCTAGTCGCGTCGTCGTCGTTTGTAGTTTGTACGCGAAATGGGAACTTGTTGATTCACCCCATGGAAGAGCGTGTAGCGGAACAAAGAACGTTAAATCAATCTCAAACTACCTAGCAGTGACAGCAGTGCCGAGCTGCTGCTGATTGAAAGAGATTAACGAAGAATGGTACGGGAAAGGAGCAGGCAGAGCACGTGCTTTCGTGTATGAGTATGAGGTCCATTTTCAGAATTCTTTATTATCGTTGGATGACCTTTTCCGTGTCTGTAATGCGGACGAGGAAACCGCAGAGAGAGTTCATTGATTCCTTCACCCGGTCCGGGTAGAACAGCCGGGGGAGACACGCCTATGGAATGTTGTGCGTTGGAATAGACGATTTAGAATAACACTTCGATCAAGGTAGCGGATAGGTCGATTTGGAAGGAGGTAGCGGAGTTTTTGAAATTTCTAGAATGTGTGTTAGATCACCGGACGTAGTGATGTGATTTGAGTGTGACGCGGTGGCTTTACAGGTTGAGTTGAACAGATGTTCATTAAAGTTATTTATACGATAAACGAATCATATGTAATGCACGAAAATCGATTTATGTATGTACAACAGAGGATTAAAATTATTTGATTTAATTTCATATGAGATTTTATCTACAACAACAAATTTAGTTTCCTGACGAATGTGGGCGTCTTTACGGAATACCTGTAAAAAGAAAGCGAGAAGGATCCTTCTCTCTTTTTTAAATTTAATAAGCCTTCCCGAGCAAAGTCGCATATCAAAATATGATCAAAATACGATCATTTTGATACAACAAAAATCTGTATACATGTATGGTACTCTCCGTAAGTCGATATTTTCACAAGTCGATGCCTCATTTGGTCGATATTCTATGTAGTTTTATTTTGATTCTATAACTCGATATATCAAAAGCAGAGCTTTTGAATTCTGTGATTTTGATGTTAAAATCAAAGAAACTTTAAATCATGATAACATATTGGGCATATTGGATTCCCAGAACTCATCGGCCACATCAGAACATGTTTCTGGTGTCCATGGGAAAAAAATGCCCGTCTCTCAAACTCATACCTAACCCAATCATGAGGCAAATCAAACTTGAGTACTCAGGGCTGGAGTGCCAGGTGTTTTGAGAAAAAGTCTTCACCGATATCGAATGAACGTCTTCACAAGTCTACACCGCCTCTGTTTAAGTTGAAATGTGTGGTGTGTGGTGCAATGTATTTTTTTTAAATTGATGTGATGTCATTATTCGTAATCATAAAATCAGAAAAGAGGGATGATATAGGGAGAATACACCCAAGTAACAATTTTTGGTTTTATAAGGGTTCTGTAAATCATGATTTAGGCTTGTAGAATGCGTGGCCAGTAACGTAATATTTATTTAATTTTTTTTTTAATTTCAGTAGTTCAAGGATCTTGACACATTTTACAATTTTAGATAGGGAAAATTTCTTTAATATTGGCCTATGGATTTTAAGATTGAGCCCATCGATTAAAATTTCCTGTTCTTCAATTTTCTTACCTATGCGTCATCTAGACTGATTCAAATTGATATTTTTGGTTGTCAGTGAAAAATTGGAAAAAAAATGCTTTCCTTCGAAATGTTTGTGAGAGCCCAATATGAGGAAAGCCTCTGATATTTTAAATTTCATAGAAATTTATGGAAAAAAAGATGTGGAATGGAGTTAGAAATTATTAGAGACATATTGAAACTTGATTAATTGAGATCCAAGATTTTTTTTAAAGATTTGATTCATTGAAGAATCTTTAAGACTAAGAAGAGAGAATTCAATACAAATTGCAAAATCATGAGTCAGATGCTCAGATTCTAAAAAAAGAAAATTTTATAGGGCTGAAGAAAATTTTCAATTCCTGGACTTAAAAAAAAAGAAGTTTGAAGAAATTTTTAAGATTCTGGGACGAAGATTCAGATTTCGGACCATGAAATGTTTTCCAGGATCGCAGATAAAAAAAAAACCAATACAGTGCTTTCCCGATTTTGTCTATCCCCGATTTTGACAGCTTTTTTCCGATTTTGTAAGCCTGCATTTTGCTGAACTTTTCGGTTTTTAAGCATGAATTCTCAAGCATTTCGCTTCAAATGATGCTTAACTATTTTGTCACACCATTATTTAAGGGTTTGTACATAAATGACGTACACTAATCCCCTGATTTACACGATTTCTCAGCTGTGCTTCATCCGATTAAGCTGATTTTGTGTATGTGATAAGGGTCAACCATAAGCTTGCCACACCCGAATCAGCTCAATCGGATGAAGCACAGCTGAAAAATTGCGGTGCGTGACTGGCAACACCCCATGCGTTAATCGGATGATAACTGTAACATTATAGGTCAAGGAGAGGGTTATAGGAGGGAGGCGGGGAGGTTTAAGAAAATACGCTACGAAAGGGGAGAGGGGTCTTAAGTTGTTTAAAAATGCTACGTCATTTAAGTATGCTCCCTTAGTGTTTGGGTTGAAACATGAATTTATGTTGTCTTAACTGTTGTAATGAATGAACATTGTTATATTTTTAAAAATATTAAGGCGCAGTAACAAATCGTAAAAAAATACATCAATTTTGGTTTGACTTCAGTTTCCAACAGATTTCATCATAGCCAATTCTCGAATACGACGCAGATAGATGATGTCAGCAATTGAAAGGGCTGATTCTTTAGCCTAATCAATGATTCTATCAAGCATTTGCACTGCATCTGGTAGCTCCCGTATTTGATGGTTCACCCAATTCGGGAAGCTGAGATTCACTTTGATCTGGTTCTTCAACCTGCTCTGATTCGTCGTTGATCGCTGACTGGTCATGGTCATCTAGCACAAGTTTAAGGATATCTTCGTCCGTGTATGCTTTGCTAGCATACCCTTCTTCCACATTTTGGGCAACCGTGGTGTCGTTACGATCATGATCCCTGCCCATTAGTTGCACTAACGGAATATCATCTTCGTGTAGGAATTTTCCATCAATCACAGATTTTCTTCCCTGACTGCTGAATTACAACGTCATGTAATTCAGCCCAGACTTCGTGTATCCAAAAACGTACTACCTTCAACGATATCTGCTTCAAACATTCTTCTGAGTTGTCTTCGTTGTGGCGGGCCATGACCGATATAGGGGGTTGATATTGCATCTGGATGATGTCACGTTGGCAGGCAGAATTGTGATTAACCCGTCATCACTCTGGAGTTCATTGTTCCAAAATTTTGGAATAATTCACGCGTCATCCAGGCATTTTTGGACGCAAAATACGTAACGGGAAGAGATTGACATTCTTAAATGCTCGGGCGTTACGTGATTTCCCAATAACCGCCATGCTTAGTTTGTGATCTGCCGTAGCACACAGAGCTAACCGTACGCTGAGAGTGTTGTCCCTTTCGAGGCATTTTGTATGCCCTTTGTTGTAAGAATAATATATATTCATCAATAAGTCCATTAATAGTGGATCAATAGTGGTTAAACTGTTAAACTTGGTTTAAAATCATTTTGAAAAAATTCCCGATTTTGTCAGCCTAAAATTTCAGATGAGGCTGACAAAATCGGGAAAGCGCTGTATCAATATAATGGACCTTAAAAAAATCAAGATTCATGGGCTTGAAGATTACATTAATGTTTCTGAAATTTCGTGACATTACCTTGAGAATTTCTGAAGAATTTTGAGGTTAACTTAAAGGAAATTCTAAGGAGAGAGAGAGTTCTGACTGGAATTCCGTTTTAGTTTTGCGGAGAACTTCAAGCAGTGCAATGCTTTCCAGATAATTCTGATTCCTTGTAAATACTCAGGAGATATCTAAGGGAGTTTCTGAGAAGAATTTCTATGTAGTTCTGAGAAGAGCTTCAATTCAATTCTAAGTAGAATTCCAAAGTGAGAAGAAAATTCAAACGATTATTCAAGCATGATTACTAAGGTTGAAGATGCTTCACATCAAATATCAGACTTAAAATGGTCATTTTATACGATAGATGAGGCGATGAAAGTATAGAGTTGATAGTTCCGTTAGAGCACGGCAGTGTGGAAATAAATATAAAGACACTTTAAAAGCATGGCTCATCCAAACTTTAAGAATCAGATCAATTCTAAATCATGTATGTATGGAAGTCACATTAGCATGTTAGAATATAAACCTAAAAATGAACCAATTTCTAATAATTGTGGCATAATGTCCTTAAAATTCTCCCCAGAAGAATAATGATCACCAGAATATGTTTCTTTCCGCAGCATTTTCCTAGTAATTGTACAAAACTTCGATGGAATTATTCCTTAAATTACTTTGAGAAATCTGCCCAGAAATTCCTAAATTATGCTTCAGAATTCTTATGGAATTCCACTTTTAGTTTCCATGAAATTCTCAATGGAATTTCCTGAGAATTTACCTTGTAAATCTACTCAGATTTCCTTTGGCATTCGCTTTAAATTTACTTTGAATTTATCCTCAGAACTCTGCTCATCAGAATTCTTATACAATTCACCTGTAACTATCCCCACAATCCCAGTCAATAATCCTAGACATTCATCAAGTTTTCTCCTCTCCACCAGAGAAATCATGCTTCGATCTCCCGTTGAGTTTTTCCTCAGAATTCCTATGGAATTATTCTCATATTTGCTTAGTAATCATACTTTAACTATTCATGTTTGTATTACTCCATGCGTTAAGTTAACGATCCCTCGTGCCTTCCTCAAAGTTGACCTTTGCTCGCTTTCTACTCTCTACACTAGTGGAAATAAATATAAAGATACTTTAAAAGCATAGCTCCTCCAAATTTTAAGAATCACATAGGAGATACATACATTTAGGTGAATGTGATTTCTCCTACGGAAATAACTATAGGGACGCCATTCAAAATGTAAGGGAAATTGGCCATTTTCGA